ACCTCTACCGTTACCAACCCTTTACTGTCATCAACAAGTTCAATGCAAGAATGACCTGATCGAACCAGGAGGGAAACAGATAAAGAAATACATGCAATTGATTTTGAGAAGAAGTAGAGGATTCCTTTAGTACTATCGATCAAGAAAGAGGAAGAAAACACCCAAAAAAAATAGGGTAGACCTGTTCGATTTCTTGCTAGGATGCCAACACACATGCACCTGTGATCGATTTTAAGAAATCAACAAGAGAAAGGTGCGATAGATTGAAGAGGGTGTTATCAGATTCTGTGAATCGATTAGGAAGGAAAATCCTAAAGAGTGTTCGATCGATTTTTCTGTTGTTCGATGATGGCATACACAAAGACATACAAGAAATCGAATAGGATGCTTACAGAACCCCGAATATGTGTTTTCCATGGAAAGGAAAAATGTCCCAAAACAAGACAACCCCTACGCAGAGACGTACAATCCAGGATGGAGAAATCATTATAAATTTTCATGGGGAGGATATCAGCAACAACAAATGCAACCATAACAAGGGAAATATCAACAAAGATCTCAAAACCCACTAGGGTTTTATCATATCCAAAATCAACAAATGAGACTACAAGAAAGTGCATTCCACTAGGCATTAGGTAGTGGTTCAAAATGAACAACTTCACCCGCTCAAGAGATGACTACTTTCAAGAAAGCAATGATGGAGTTCATGATCAAGCAAAAGAAAAAAACAAAAGAACATGAGAGAAATCAAATGAGTCCATGAGAAATTTAGAAAATCGGTTAGGGAAATTAGCACAAGCATTGAACTCTAGAGAGCCAGGAACACTGCTGAGTAGTACTCAGAATCCTGGAAATGGTAAAGGCAAGTGTCAGTGTAACGTTGTCACATTGAGATTTTGAAAAGAAGTAAAAGAAAAAAGAGACCAGCAGACGGGAACCTCAAATAAGTTAAAAGTCGATAGTTGAGGAGAACGAAACTACAAATAAAAAAGATTATAAGCTGAAGCACGCTGAGAAAAATCTCATTGACATAGAGGACCTGACGGATAAAGATTTTAAGAAGAAAGGGAATAGTGATGAAAATCAAAAGAAATTCAAAGAGAAGAATGTTTAGACTGACATAAGAACATCACTAATAACTTTTCCTTTTCCACCTAGGCAAAGTAAGTTAAAGGCCGATGATATACAATTCAAGAAGTTTCTTGAGATCCTTTCTCAATTACACATCAACATTCCTTTTGTCGAATCCTTGAAGCAATTGGCTACATACGCCGAGTTCATGAAAGATGTTCTCACAAGGAAAAGAGTCTTTGAAGAGCTCAAAACGGTCGCCATGACAATAAGTTGCACTTCAATTATCCAAATTAAATTACCTGTGAAAAAAGACGATCCCGGTAGTTTCTGCCTACCATGTAGAATTGGAAATTTGAACATGATAGGTTCGTGTGACTTAGGAGCAAGCATCAATTTGATGCCTATGTTATTATTTCGACAATTAAAAGTTGGAGAAGCTAGATCAACCACAGTTTTACTCCAATTGGTAGATCGATCGGTGGTCTATCCGGAAGGTAAAATCGAGGACATTGTTATCAAGATTGACAATCTTTTCATTCCTGCTGATTTTATCATCTTGGATGATGAAGCTGAAGACGATTGTGGAATAATTTTGGGAAGACCATTTTTGGCGATCGTTGAAACACTAATTAATGTCAAAAAGGGAGACGTTACACTGAGAGTAAATGATGAGCAAAAGACTTCTAATATGTTTAAGGCTATCAAATAATTTTCTAATATGGAAGAATGTTCATTCATAAGAGTCACATACAGACTAGTAGATTTGAAACATGACGACTTGATTAAGCTGATTTGTGACATTGAGAAAAATAGAGAGTCCACGGTTAAAAATGTAGTGAGTCGGGTCAAAGAGAAGCATGAATTGAATGATAGTGTGACAAAATCAGCTTTGCCATCCCCTGTAAAAAGTATATGTCTTAGATTTAAAGCGGCCTCCGGAACACTTGAAGAAGACTAAGAAGAAAAGACTGAAGAAGTTCTTGAAACACGGCCAACATAAAATGCAAAATCTTAAAAGTACCAAAATTCAAAAGTTTGAGGATGAAAAATGGCATGACAATGATATTTTGAAAATAAAAACGAAAAAAAATGTTTTGTGCGGTCAAATAACAAGTAAAACACCATTTTGGAGGATAAAACATGGAAGTGATTTGGCTTCATTTGAAGCCAGCTGATGAGTTGATGAGTAGTTCGATTGTTTTATTTCTATTTTTATTTTTGAGTTTGTTTTTGTTGTGTCTTGTTTTGTTTCAAAAAAAGGTTAAAAATTAAAAGGTTATATTTTTTTTTAAAAAAAATCAATTTTTCTTAAATTTTAAAAAAATTACAAAAATAAAACGTCAAAAAATATTTACTTTTGTATATGTATTGTTAGCTTAGTCGTTATTTTGTTTTGTTGAGTGTGCATGCCTTATTTGTTAGTTGGTGATCTCGATGAGCCAAATGAGAAATCAATCATCGACATTGTGCGTTCAAGGAAAATCATTATTATTTTGGAGATGACATGTCATTAGGGAGCTTTCTACACTTAATGTTTAATTCTCTTTTTATTTTTCGGGACGAACAATGGTTAAGATTTAGGGATGTGTTTAGTACCTGTTTAACTTTCACTAAATGATTTAAAAAGCCTATTTTTGCCCCAAATTTAAAAATTTTACACAGTTTTTAAGCTTAAAAGGACATTTTTTTGTTAAATTTCATGATGGATTTCAAATCTCCTACTTAATGTTTCTTTGTCCCATTCAGTTGGCCTACATTGGTGGGTCCCTAATCGCATATTCGATAGGGTGGCGGAAGTTGGACTTCCTTGTATGAAGTCCAAAGCTCTTAAACGAATTGACGGCTCCTTAACTTCTTTTTACAAGTTCACCTAAGTTTCTTAGGTCCCCACCACCTATTTGACGGGTATTGGGGGAGTTGGTTTTCATCTCACCAAATCCAAATATAGCTTTTTACAAGTTTCTTGATACGAATTGACAGCATGCATCACCACTTGTAATCACAAGTGCAACCCGATTCTCTCGGGTTCCCCTCCGCATATTCAATGGGTTGGTGGGAGTTGGTTTTCGTTTTATGAAAATCAAAATATAAAATGTGGTGCTTTGCAATTGAATTGATGATTTTATTTCACTTGTACTTCACGGGATACCTACCTCCCATTCCACATATTTTGGTAGGAGTTGGTCTTATTTTCATAAAATCCAAATTATTTTTATAATGAATTTGCGGAATTTATTCTACTTGTTAAAGAAAGTGCGTAATGCTTTGGTGGGTCCCTCATCTCCTATTCGACAGGAAGATGAGAGTTGGATACCTTTTTAAAGTCCAAAAATTCAAAAAGAATTGACGGTTATGGTTCGCGCTCAAGATTCTATCAATGATGTGTTTCATATGGAAGATATTCGGGTTTGGTTAGAAATGCGATTTAAAGCTCACATTTCCGGATTAAAACATGATTGGTTATACTTTTAATTTAAAGCTCACATTTCCGGATTAAAGAGCTCAATAAAAAAACAAGTTCAAGTCCATTAAGATCTTTTATCCTTCAGGAACAAACATGCAATGGAACAAAGGCAAGAGACAAAACATTGAATTGAGTTTTCATAAAGTCAAATTAAGTCAAATTTTGTACAACCCACAACTCAATGAAAAACAGAATTATAGTTTCTAATTTGATGATTCATGGAAATCATGAAGGAAAGGGTTTTGTTGACTCTACTATCATGGATCCAGGAGAACCTGATCCTCCTCCATCTCCATTACCACCTTCAAACCTCTACCACCCATCACCCTCACCATCACCCCCTTCTCCACTCCACTATTGCGACTACCATCTAGACCCAACATCCACCGTCTTCATCACCAATACTCCACCTTTAACCCTTACCAGATAGCTCACCCTTTTTCAGCCATCATACCACCACCCATTACTATAATCTTTATAGATTCTTACCCAATATTGTTAACACTCTTCAGCACCCCAAAAACACCACCCTTATCCTTCAATATCAACCACCATTGACTCATATTCATAATCTTCACCTTAATCCATCACCATTCCCACCTCCGCAGCCTCCATTCATCCACCTTCATCACATTGTTCTCCCCTTTTTACCATACCAACACCCACACAAACAACCAACAGCCTCCACCATAAACCACCCTTCATCATCTTCACCGTAGACCATCCTGAACCCTTAACCCTTAACCCTCCACCCTTATACCTCCTTTTTATCGCAACCATCAACACATCACCGTCTCTTTCCCATTTTCTAACCTATACCATCACCAGCCCTTCACTGTCATCAACGAGTTCAACGCAGGAAGGACCTGATCCAACCAGGGAGGGAAATAGAAAAAGAAATACCTGAAAGTGATTTTGAGAATAAGAAGAGGATTACTTTAGTACTATCGATCAAGCGAGAGGAAGAACACAAAAAAAGGGGTAGATGATATAAACCGATTCGAGATGGTCAATCTCCAAGATAAGGCCAATTTGAGATGGCTAATCTCCCAAAGAAATAAGAAACAGAAACATAGATACTTTACTGATAATTCTTCTCATCCCAAAACAATGAAAATACATCAAATATATAACAATGCAAAAGTCTAAAAACTAAGAAGCGGAAAACATGGCTAACCGTAAATTAACTAGTCTACTCTTTCAATGCAAAATACATTAAACAAATAATTAAATAAAATGCAAAAGAAGTCGAAGCAGTAACATGCAAGCAAGACGTGGGTGACTTTCATCTAAGGCGTGGGTTCCATACAAAGTTATTAGTGACACTCCAGAAACTGTTGCATACTATGTCACCACAACTTATCCATTTAATGAATATACCAATATATGATGGATCCGGCCATGGAGGTGGCCTTGTGTATAAGCCTAGAGACGTATCAATTCCTCCTACCTTAAAATTGACCTAGTCCTCCAGGTCCAACAAGCAATCGTTGAGAGTAAGGAGGGTGAGAAAGCATTGGTCCAACAGACGAAAAAATAGCTTGACATGTCGGATATGTTCATAAGTAGTTGTCAATGGCTCTTGTGGGAGCGGTTCCTTTGGTGATGGGGGCGACGGCGGTTGTATCTTCGATTGGATTGGTGAAGGTGGGGTTGCCGACAGTGTTAACGGTGGGTATGTTGGTGTTGTTAGCAGCAACGGTTGTGATGGGGATGTCGGTGGAAATGGTCGTGACGTGATATCCCCCATATTTGTGTTTTTGATCAATGTGGTGGTGGGGATTTCAGTGATCTCAGTTAGCTTGGCAATGATGGCATCGATGCGGTTGTTGTTGGCGATAGTTATAGCAACTAGTTGAGCCAATTGATCGGCCATGGAGGCAAAAGACTGATCTTCCAATGGAGAATGGTGGTGAGGAGGCATTGCAAGGTCGGGAATGAAAGCACCAATTGATATAAACTGATTCGAGATGGTCAATCTCCAAGATAAGGCCAATTTGAGATGGCTAATCTCCCAAAGAAATAAGAAACAGAAACATAGATACTTTACTGATAATTCTTCTCATTCCAAAACAATGAAACTACATCCAAATATATAACAATGCAAAAGTCTAAAAACTAAGAAGCGGAAAACATGGCTAACCGTAAATTAACTAGTCTACTCTTTCAATGCAAAATACATTAAACAAATAATTAAATAAAATGCAAAAGAAGTGGAAGCAGTAACATGCAAGCAAGACGTGGGTGACTTTCATCTAAGGCGTGGGTTCCATGCAAAGTTATTAGTGACACTCCAGAAACTGTTGCATACTATGTCACCACAACTTATCCATTTAATGTATATACCAATATATGATGGATCCGGCCATGGAGGTGGCCTTGTGTATAAGCCTAGAGACGTATCAGTAGACCTGTTCGATTTCCTGCTGGGATGCCAACACACATGCACCTGTGATCGATTTTAAGAAATGAACAAGAGAAAGGTGCGATCGATTGAAGAGGGTGTCATCGGATTCTGTGAATCGATTAGGAAGGAGACGCATGAAGAGTGTTCGATCGATTTTTCTGTTGTTGAATGCTCGCATACACGAAGACACACTAGAAATCGAATGGACTGCTATCTTTCATTAGGTTAACATTCTCACTTTGGTCTAATTTCATCTCTTCTTTGGGCTTCCAATCACACGCAGAAAATGAGTCATGGGAGTATTTTCATTCTACTTCTTTAACATCATTTAGTATTTAGTGTGATATTTAGAATTATTTTTGTTAAATAAATGATGTTTAAACCTGATTTAGTAATTGTTGTTTGTTTTAATTTTATGCAGTATTTTTTATTTTGGGGTTTAGTTGACTTGGGAAAATGATAAATTTTTATGTGTTAAGTTAATTGATACAAAGTGTGGTAATTGTTTGATGTTCAAATGTATATTTAGTGTCAAAATTGCTTAATGAAATTAGTTTAATTTACAATATTTATTATCTAGTCAATAATATATGTTAAATATTAATTCGGATTTCATTTTGTAATTAATTGCTACTTTTGACTTCGAGAGGAGCGTTAGTTGGGTAATCACTTGAAAATGAGTGTGTGATTTCATGATCCTGCTTAAAATAAACATAAACGTGTGTTGATGCATTTTTAACAAAACCACTAAACTTAATTTTTTTTTAATTTCATGCGTTGCATAAAGATATGGGTGAGTAATTTTAAATTAAATCATGAGATGGAGAGGTAATTAATAACTTTAGATGGTGTTAGCAAATTTATTACCATCACGTATGTGTTAATTACTTAATTGCATTAGATGAATCATTGAACCCGTAAATGTCAACTAAACCCTGCTTTTCACTTGTCTGCTAAATCTCAAGTTACGTGTTTGCCCCTCTAAGTCACATTGGTTTCTAGTATTGCATTACTTAATTTTATTGTTATTTTCTTTAGAAATATTGGTAGTCTTATTTTTATTTTATTTTAGTTTAGTTTTTAGAATTATTTTTCATATTTTAATCAAACCAAATCATTTTTGTCAATAACTACTTGATTTATCTTCATTTAAGATAGATAGTCCTTGTGGGTACGATATGTAGTTTTACGACTATATTACTTGCATGATCTCGTATACTTGCGAGTATACGTTTTCGTCAACAGTAAGCAATTAGTATAAATTCTCAGACACGTTCATTTAGTTAATAGTCACATTAGATAAATCGTCGAATGCTACTACATATGCATCATTGGTCTTCCGGGTTAACTACGTGTTTGTTTTAGTTATTCCTTTAGTTGATAAGCGTAAGAATTAATAGAAAAATAAGATTGAATTCCAACGTTCATAGGACAACAACTAGACTTTAGCATCCATATAGTATAGATTAAGGACCTTTACTCGGTTGTAGCCTCAAAAGTTTAAAAATCAAAGATCTGTGGTGACAAGTAGATATGAAGGAAGGATGATGACTAGGACATTCGGATAATGGGTACGAGTCTTTAGGACCATCGAAAGGTTGATCGTGAGTCTTCAGGCCTGAAGGGGGATGATAGAAAGAGTGATCTGACATCGAAATCCCAGTAGTTGGATAGTGTCACGACGTATCGTGAGCGGGCATAAAAACAAATTGTGCGAACAATAGTTATACCTTGATATAGGAAAAATAGTCAGAGCCTTGGAAGAAGGTTATTGGTGACCTAGGGGCTTTTTGTGTTTTTTTTTGAAGATCTGCGCAACCACTTTTGTCTGCGTCGTGCAGACAATGTGCATACATATGTCATCGCAGAGTGTTTGTTTTTTGGAAGTGCGCAGATAAAAAAACGTCTGCGCGAGGTCTTCCTGGCGCAGACATGGGTCACTGTCTTCAAAGGTCTTCAGACCTCATTTTAACCTAAACCAAAAAAAAACATGGGCCACCGTGTAGTTTTTTTTTCTTTTTTTTTTTGCTGAAAATGCATTTTTAATGTTTATGACATGATATTAAGTTTGAAAAATCAATTTATTTCAACAGCTGCAGACGTGAAAAACAAACAGTCTTCTTATTGCAGACTGCAGACATTTGGTCCACCTCTTCGGCCGTAGAGGCTTGTAGATGTGGTCCGCAGACTGCAGATATTTTGGCTTCAAAAAAACAAACAGCACCCTAGTGTTGATTATAATCTTGTAGGTTGGAAGATAGGCAAGCCTTATAATGAGTCCTACACCAATATTAGAGTAATGGTTCTAGTTTTTTCAAGCCAATAAACCCGTTATAGTATATTTGGTTAAAAATCAGGATGTTGGAACACCTGAAATAGGTTGGAATAACATTTGTAATCTAGATGTGTGTGTGTTTTAAGGATATGCCATAAGCCTTTTTAGAGACATGTTCCGCTAAGTGGATTCAATTAGAATGTCATAGATAAATTTCCTTAATTAATCTCAATATATCGAGTCAACAATGTTCTTAGTCAAAGGAACAAATTTATATTTCATGTCTGAAGGTAATCGTTCGTCGTAGAGTACAGATTCTGAAAGTACAGACCGTCAAGTTTCCCTTTTTGGAAGATTTAGCGAGGAGTTCAGGAGTACGTCTAAGGTATAAACGAAGTTCTAAAAGAAATATCGATGCGACAACATTAGCTAGATCATGAGTTGATTTGATAACTCCGATAAGATAATGTCTAGGTAGGCTAGGAGTAGGATTTTGGGGACGAAATCTTCGTAAGTGGGGAAGAGTTGTAACACCCCTGTTGAGTATTTGAGATATTGAAACTGATTTGGCATATTTGGTTATTTAGGGAAGCCTTTTTAGCGTTAATCATTTTATGATTCCCTACGGTGCATTTGTAGTAGAAGTTCTTAATCGAGCTCTTCTAAGGCATTGGTTTTATTTTAAGGCATAGATTTTATATTTATGGTATATTTTTATTGTTCCCTATAAATAATCATTAGGTTAACTTTTGGTGTAAGCTTTTTACCAGATTAGGGTTTTCTCTGTACATTCATCTCATAATCAATATACACAAAAACCTTTATCAGATTACTTGCATATGATGGTGATTGATTCTTGATTGTTCTTGATATTCCGCATTCGTCATCTTGGATTTATTCCCAACAAGTGGTATCAGAGCGGGTTCTTGTAGATTTCAGCGATTTTTGCAAGAATCGATCTTGTTTATGGTGAAATTTTATCTTGAATCTCACCTTGTTCTTCAAGTTTTGTAATTTTTTTGAAAAGAAAAAGTCTACTACTTCGTTTTATTGCCAAATCTTGTTCAGATCTGTTATCTTCTAC